AAGCCGAAGCGAGTAAAACTCTTTCCGCAAGAAGAATACGCCCCGTGTGGTAGCTAACGGTTCAAGCGTAACTTTCCCAAAAATACAACGACAAACGTCTCTAATCTGTAGCACACCAGATTTACGAGCTCCGGCGAGCTGGAACGAAATCAAGAATTGAGCACTAAATACAAAAATAAAAATATCTAATTTTTATATTTATTTTTTTATTTTTTTCTTTCCTCCCTTCCGTTTTTTTTTTATTTCTTTTTTTCTTCCCTTTTCCTTTTCTCTCTCCTTCTTCCTTTTTCTTCTCTTTTCTTTTCTTCCGTCTGCCACTTTTTCCTCCTTCAGACAACTCCTCATATTTATGGTGTATTCAACACTATTAATAATACCACCATTAATAATTAACAAGAGTGGTTTGAAGAATAAGCATATTAGGAAGAATAGGAATATTAGGAAGAATATGAATAAAGTGGTTGGAATATTAGTTAGCAAATTAATTAACACTCAATTTACTAACATATTTCATATAATCTCTCACATTTGTTGTCCTTACTAATCTCCTTTTGCAGTGTTAACAAAAGCTCGAGTCCTGAGGTGATACGCACAAGGCTGTCTAAGGCCAAGTGAGAGAAGTCGAGAGAGCACGAGTAAACACTTTAAGCAAACAACAATAGAAGTGTAGTAGTTCCACTCCTCGCTGCTCTGTTTTATGTTTTCATAGCCAATAGGATTTTGCCTGATATAGCTTTGAGCATCATCGGCATCAGCTAATTTCGTCAAATATTTTACAAATTCCTCTTCAAGATCTGCAAATAACTGTTTATCAGTTTAGTTGAAAATGATGAATTACAAAGTCAAGAAAAATGCTTCTCGCCCAAATAATTGTCGTGAACTGATCCATCATAGGTTTTGGGGAATATGGCATTGTGGAGCTACACAATTCAAAAAAGGGAAATATTATATAGCATCTACACGAGAATACAAGAATTCTATCACATAAAGAAGTTTGAATTGCTACACTTACTGGGTTAAGAAATGATTTTTAAGGCGAGTCATCGACTAAGACTGTGTTCGTGGTGTCATACGATTCAAATACTCGCCAAACTTGCTCCAATTCCTTAAATATGATTGGTTTTTCTGGATTATCCTCAAGGAAGGAGCCTGTCTTTTTGCATTTATCTTGACCCTACAGCACAACATTCAACGCAACATTATACTAAAATTACCAAAATTCTGCTAAGACACTGACCTTATAAA